TGAATCTCACATTCTTTCACTGTGGCTGGACGGCCTCTGCTTGCCTGGCCACAGGGCCTCTCCAGGTGAGCTTTGTGGTCCTCAACTGAGGGCTTCTGGAAGTCGCGACCACATGTGTACTTCTCATCCCCACACCGCCTGGGCCTTAAGAGATGAAACCAAACCAGTGCGTCTCTGAGAACTCCCCCTTCTCTTCCTCCTCAGTCATGGTCAGCCACTTTCTGGCTGTCTAAGCCACGCCTAACAACTGCGGCTCTTAGGTCTGTAATATTTATTTATAGGTTTATTTATAGGTGTAAATATGTAATATTTATAGGCTGACAGCTGGGGAATCCAAGAGTTCCCTTCTTTGCTATCTGAAGGCAGACAGAAAATGATCAATTTAATTTTTTTGTGCCCTACCCAACATTTTACAGGGCACCCTCCAGCCCTAGGAGTGTGTCCAAAACTTGTGTTGAATCTTGCAGAGCTTGTGATCTTTCCTTATGAGGTCTCTGTTCTCTGCCAAGTACCTCACAGAGCAGAGACAGGGGGCACAGACGGTCACCTCAAACTACCTATGCATGATATAGACCATCTTTTGGTAATTATTAGCTTCAAGTGACCCTACAGCCTTAGCACTGACCATCAGGAATACCTACATCACGCTGGCCCCCACATCCAGGAAAGGGCAGCTCCCTACCTCGGAGAGAAAAGATTCTGCTCATTGATGGCACACGCTCGGGAAGAAAGGTGCCTCTGTGTGAAGTGGCCCCGTGGTGGAGCAGAGCAGCCAAGTGAGGCCCAGCACCTGCTCTGCCCTCTGGGACAAGTGTCAGTCTTCTATGGAGACTTCTATGAACAAAATGGCACCGCCTGGACCAACACTTTGTAGTTCCTCAAGACATTGTCATACTCTGCTCTCTAGGTATTTCCTAATGTAAATCTACTCCTGTCCACTCAAGGGCAGCACTGGGCTACTCTTCTGGTTTCTTACTTCCCACCTGAGTTCAGTCCACAGGCTTGGTTGCTAGCGAGAGCTCAAGAAAGAGATTCCTATGCATTTAAATCTACTCTCCCTTTCTTCCAAAAAGGATCAGAGGAAACAGAGGAAAATACCTTCTGGAAGTGAAAACAGGGAAGGAAGAGCAAACGAACCCAAGGTCAAGGGCATGCAACAAAAGAGGGGAGCTTTGCAAAGTTGCTAAAGGTAGTTACAAATTCAGCTCTGGGTTTTCCAGAGGCTAAAGCAAAAAAAAAAAAAAAAAAAAAAAAAAAAAAAAAAAAAAAAAAAAATCTGGCAGGGTGGTGGGGCGGGTGTCCACAATGAAATTCAACATGTATAAAAGGTGAAAGAAAAAAACAAAAACAAAAATCCACCACTTGCTCAGGAGAAGCTCAGCTTCTGCTGGGTACTATAGGATAATTTCCTAAGCAGAAATTCCACAAGTGGGATTTCTAAATTAAAGGTTTAGTAGATTATTAAAGGCCTTTGATGTATATTGCCAATTGCTCTCCTGAAAGGTTGTCCTGATTTACATTTCTACTAGCAGTCTGATCTCTTCTCTACACTGGGGGTTATCTTTTGGTGGAGATGGTGGGGGTGGTGGGACTTCTTTGCAAATGAGATAGATACAAATTCAGTGTTTTCATGTGTAAATCATGGAAGTATGCTGAATATTTTCCATGTCATGAAAATGATATGATTATATCATATCAATGTACTAGATGAATTGCCTACCTCATATCTTATACATTTTGACTAAATTCTCTTTTTTTACTAGTGTCTAAGGAGAGGTCTTTTCCTATGAAAGATCTTTTCCTATGGTTATTTGCCATACATGTTATTAATATTGTTGGTTGCCTTTGTTTAAGCTTTTTGACATGCAAAAGTTACCTTTTTTATTGTAAAATGAAATTTCCTCCTTTCCCCCCCAAGTTAATCAGTTAAATGCTTATTAAATGCCTATTCTGTACCCAACACTGAAGCCTCCCAATTTTACTGAGAAAAGAGAGGATAAGTGGGGTGCCCAGGTGGCTCAGTTGGTTAAGCATCCGACTCTTGCTCTCAGTCCAGGTCATGATCTCACAGTTCATGAGTTTAAGCCCCATGTCGTGCTCTGTGCTGACAGTGCAGAGCCTGCTTGGGATCCTCTCTCCCCCTCTCTTTCTGCCCCTCCACTGCTCATGCTCTCTCTCTCTCCAAAATAAATAAACTTAAAAAAAAAGAGAGAGAGACAGGTTAAGTAACTAGCTCAAGGTCACTCAGCAGTAGGAAGTAGGGACAGGACTGGGTTGTTGGTGGCCTAGACTAGAGTGGTGGTATCAGTGAGGGTAGAATAAGACAAGAAACAGGAAACAATGTCCCAAAGATCCAAGAGGCCCCATGCCTAGTGAAGGTAGGACAGCTGACATTCTTTTTGGTATGTACATGTAAGATGCCTCCCAGTCATCAGTGACAGTATGTTCCAAGGCCCAACCATGTGACGCAGAGTCACATCTTATGTGACTCATTTGTGCGTGAATACATACATGCACACAGACATGTACAGAAGCTGGGAGAGAGGGACAGGAGAAGCCAGAACATGATTGGAGGAGTTAGAGGAAGACAGATATCAAAGACACCTGCCGGTGTGTAAGGGGAATAGGGAAGAGAGAAAACTCAGGAATGTCCCAGTATTGCTGCAAGGACCAAGATGAGAAATCTGTGGTCCTCAGAAGGAGTGGGGACAGCTGCATGTAGACATGGGCACTGAAGGGCAGCAAAGTCTAGGTAATGCTAAGGAAAGACCTGGAACTAGTCAGCGTACCAATGGGGCTCACCTGGAGTCCCTCCAAGAGCTTCTAGTCACAGCCCCAGAACTGAGGCTGAGGAACACTCGCACTGGCTGGTTGCACCCGTTTCCCACTGTACAATGACAATAAGATGGTCACATCTCCTTTAAGTAATACACAGAGTTACCTTTGGAGTAAAGATCTGAATCCTAAAAGCAAGAAGGTGTATTTATTTATTTATTCATTCATTCATTTTTAAGTGTTTATTTTTAAGACAGAGAGACAGACAGTGAGCAGGAGAGGGGCAGAGAGAGAGGGAGACACAGAATCCGAAGCAGGTTCCAGGCTCTGAGCTGTCAACAGAGCCCAACGTGGGGCTTGAACCCATGAACCACGAGAACATGATCCGAGCTACAGTCGGACGCTTAACCAACTGAGCTGCCCAGGCGCCGCAGGACTGGGTCCATTTTTACTCAAGATTGTATCCCCCATGTCTGGAAGAACACAACATCTGGAAGAATACAGCCCTCAGTAAACAGTGGTTGAAGGAACAAATAAATGAATTGAGAGATCTGAAGTTTTACTTATCCTCACAAAGTGGCAATTTAATGCTCTGCTCAGTACCACTGGCCAAAGGTCATTCCTGATACTCATCTCAACAGATACTGCTCCTACATCTAGGCACTCATATTGTAAGTCTCTGTGCAAACACAGTGCTGGAAGGAAAAAGCTTTGGCATCTTCTTTTAAGTTATTCAACTTGGTCCCTTCACTTCTGGACTAGTAAACAATGTTATTATCACTCAGCTTTTGTTTGGAAAGGGAGCTCCTTTCATCTTTTCTTATTAATAGGAGACATGAGCCTCCATGGGATGCCTGGCTGGCTCGGTTGAGTGTCCGACTTTTTTTTTTGAGCATCCAACTTTTGATTTCAGCTCAGATTATGATTACATGGTCATGGGATGGAGCCCCATGTTGGGCTCCACACTGATAGCTTGGAGCCTGCTTGGGATTCTCTCTCCTTCTCTCTCTGCCTCTCCCCAGCTTGTTAACGTGTTCTCTCTCTCTAAAAATAAAAATAAATACCCAAAGTGGGGTCCCTGGGCCACCAGCATCAGTGTCACTTGGGGGCTTGCTAGAAATGCAGACTATCAGCCCCACCCCACCCAGACCCAGGAAATCTGAGTCTGTATTTTCACAAGGTCCCTAGAGGACTCTTAGGCACATATGAAATGCAGAAGCACTGATTTAAAATTAAATATTAATTATTTGGAAACTTTAGCTCCCAACAGAGCCATATGCTTACTCTAAATGGTGAAGAAAAAGCTTAAAAAGAACCTGATGAGTTCTCCTTAGCTGTGGAATTTGTGGCTAAATTTTGTCTTTTTTTTTTTTTTTCTTTCTTCAGTCCCTATAACACAAGCAGCACTGAGATCTCAGATGTTAGCTGTGTCTGTCTAGGGCTAACCAGGATCTGGTAGTACTGCTACAAAGGAAATGAGTTTAATTCTTCTTTTAAAATTGAGATGTAATTGACATATAAGAATGCATTTAATTCTTAACAGGCCAACTAAGTGCTTTACCAAGAGAAAACCGGGCTGGATGAAGGCTGGGAAGGAGGTTTCACATAACAGAGAATAAAAACACAATTCGTCTCACTTAATAATCATTATTTCTGAAAAATGCCATGATTAGTACTTCAAGTCCCAGTTTTCAACACTCTCAGGACATTGGTTTTCTCACCAAGAAGGCACCAGCCACTCAGCCCTCACTCTTGTGCTTCAGTAACCATGAAGTGCTTTATATACATTATCCTATTAATGCTCCCAGCAATTCTTTGTGGCAGGGATTTATCATGCCCATTTTGCAGATGAGGAAACTGAGGCTTAGAGAGTCTGACTGATGGAACCAAAGGTCACTCTTAGGTCTGTTTGACAGAACCCTCAGGATTCTGGCCAAGTCATTTGGGAGTGTGTGCTCCATAGCCCAAGGGCATGAGAACCCACCAGGTCAGGTGGTGAGAAGTAGCTGTTTCACCTGGGCTGGTCCTTTTTTTTTTTTTTAATGCCTTTAATGAGGTGTAATTTACATACTGCAGAATTCACAGCATGTCATTTTTGAGACGGTAAGGAACATGAACATGTAATGGAAATAAAGATGTCCTTTTCCCTCTAAAAGAAAAGCCAAAGAGGTGGTGAGCCCAGATGAGCAGGTCTCCAGGGATCCCAGGGAGTCGGGAACGCCTACCTTGGATTCCATACAGCCGGTTGAGGCGTGACCGCCGGGCCTCATCGGTGTAGGGGACAGCGAGCCAGGGCATCTCACTGAAGTACTGTTTGAATGAGTCCTCTGACCTACAGAGACACACATGGAAACAAGGCTCTGTTACCCCTGAAAGTGCCACCGCAGGGTCCTCCCCACCTTCCACCAAGTTACACCCAGGGCTCTGCAGATGCCAGCGCCTCTGAACATCATGCTCCTCAGACACCAGGCTACAGGGGGGCATTATTCTACCCCTTTTGGTTACCGCGCAGCAACAGCCTCCACACGACAGGCGGATGGGAACTGAACCACCAGGCCATTTCAAGTAGCCTGTTCCTGTGGATCCTACCAGTTGAACTCATGCCCAAGTTTCTCTTTCCAACACGGGCAGGTGGTAGTTTTATAAGAAGCCTAGATGTACAGCGACATTGCGGTCCCCGTGACACTTCTAAATTGTGCATATAACAGTCCTGTGTACAGGAGCACACTTTTAACTGAGCATAAACCTATGATTCCATGTATAAACAACTCTAGGAATGACAGATCTATCCAAAGTGATAAAAAGCAGATCAGGGGCTCCCTGGGGCTCGAGTTTGGGGGTGAGAACTGACCAAGAAGGGGCAGAAGGGCACCTTGTGAATGACAGAAATGTTCTATACTTCACTGTGACAATTACAGGGGTACATACATGGGTCAATATTCACTGAATTGTATGTCCAAAATGTATTCATTTTATTGTATGTAAATTACACTTCAATAAAGTTGATATTTTTTAAAGCTTTAAAAAAAAATGATGCCTGTGGCACCTGGGTGGCCCAGTGGGTTAAGTGTCTGACTTCGGCTCAGATCATGATCTCATGACTAGTGAGTTTGAGCCCCATATCAGGCTCTGTGCTGACAGCTCAGAGGCTGGAGCCTGCTTTGGATTCTGCATCTTCCTCTCTCTGCCCTTCCTGTGCTCTCTCTCAAAAATAAATAAACGTTAAAAAATTAAAAATAAAATAAAAATAAAAGAGTGATGATTGCTCATCCCCAGTTACATGCAGAGATGGGGAGCTGGGAGTACCAGGGCTGGACCATGGGCCAATACACCAAGCATGGCACAGTATCAGATATCAAAGATACAAAATGCTGGGGCGCCTGGGTGGCTCAGATGGTTAAGCGTCTGACTCTTGATTTAGGCTCAGGTCATGATCTCGCAGTTCATGGGATCGAGTCCCGCATTTGGCTCTGCACTGGCGCTACAGAGCGGGCTTGGGATTCTGTCTCTCTCTCTGCCCCTCCTGTGAGCTCTGTCTCTCTCAAAATAAATAAACTAAAAAAAAATTTTTAGAAGATACAAAAGGCCCTCAGTGTGTTGGCATCTCAGAGATCCTTCTGTGAACAGGAACTTGAGAAGCAGAAACACCTGGTGGCTTGGTCTGAACCAGAGTTGGAGTTTTGTGATGAAGGAAGGTCACTGATGAATAAAACCAGCAAGGGGGCCTGAAGCAGAGGAAGCTGAGGCTAAAAGGACCAGACGTACTCCAGGACGAATGTCTGCCCTTCTGGTTTTTAGGACAGCCCCCAGGCGAAGCACGAGGCCTGAGCGGAAAAAAATTATAGCACAGCCATCCCAGATAGGTGTCACATTCCATTAGCCTCCGGTTCTTTTCTTTCCATCCCTCCCCCACCACACCCTTTCATCACAATCCATAAAGCTGAACGAATCAGAAAATTGCATCCTAACCTCAAATGGCCTAGGCCGGAAGTGGGACGTGCCCCAATATTTACAGCAAGAACAGGTTTTTCTCAGCTCCCCTTCAAACAATTGCACAAGAAAATCTAAAAGGCATCTGTCTGCCAATCATCCCAGATACGCCTTCCCCAATTCCCATCTCCACGCTCTACACTTAGCAGGCGAGAAGCGTAAGGCAAAAGAAATGCATGTTAACCACCTTTGGGGAAGGGAACCACACGGCCACTTTCCCCAGCACGCGTTACCTGTCCGCACTAACAAAGATGATCTCAAATTTCTGGCCTGCCTCCTTGATCTTCCGGTAGGATTCCACCAGGACCCGGGTGAGGCTTCGGCAGGGTGGACACTGAAAGAGGAGAGTGAGATCCTATGGTTTGACCCTGTACCTTCGTCTTCTCCTGCCTGCAGAGGCCAGGTAAGCAAGACCCAAGTAGGACTGGGATAGCAAGACCCAGCTTATTAAAGAGGCAGAAACAAATGTGCCCCTTGTAATGGTGAGCATTCAGGATAGGCTCTTCTCACCTCCACGGTGTGCCAGCAGGCAGCAGTTTAAATGAACCCCCTTGGAGACCAGTAGAAGCCTCATCAGAATGGGTGAGGAAGACTACCCTTTCAGACCAGTCAAAAGAAGAATTTTCTTGCTGCTATTATCACTCAAAATAATAAGCGCTCGTGGCATGTAAGCCATGCATCAGGTGCAGGAGGAAGTAAGAACACCAGGAAGTGATACCCAAGCAGTAACACCCCTAGAAGCCAACCCCAACTGGTCTTGGTGGCAGCATCGCTGCTTCCTTCCGTCTGGACTAAGGAGGGCCTGAACACTCACCCAGTGTGCGGAGAAATAGACTCCCACGTGAGACCCCTCCAGGCTGCTGCTTTCCAGGGACTGTCCGTTATTTCTAAGCAAGGGCCCCGCAATGACTTCCCTGAAGGGCTTAGGTCCCCAAGGGAATTCCAAACCTGAAACAGGCAACAGGTGGTAAGAACGTTAAGATTCTTCCTTGAGACTTCTGACCCAAGAGTCCTCACAGCAGCAGGGCATGACAGCTTTATCATCAAATAGTATTTGTTAACACACGCATAGGATCTGGAGCTAAAACCCAGGAATGAAGGCAGAACCTTATCCACGGCACAGCCCCACCTACCTTCAAGACAATGGTTCCCGAACCTGGGTGATCATAGGACCCAGCTCCTGGGGGGCTTTTGAAAAGTACAGAAGCCCAGGTCATGCTCTGAGTCTTTGGATCCGGGGCCAAGGCTGAAGATCTATGTCCAAAGTGAAGCAAAACCAACTCCCCAGGGAAGTCTGATGATGGGCCAGGATGGGGAATCACTGCCTCATGTATTAACCATGAGTTTCTTCAAGTCCAACCCCGGAATCTCAGTGGCTCTCCATTCTGACGGCATTTCAGAATCAGCTGGGGAATTTTAAAATATGATGCTCCTGGGACCCACCCCCAGAGATTCTGATTCAGTCAGTCTGGGTTGGGGCCCAGGGAACCAAGTGAGAATTAAATCCAGTAAAAGGAAAGAGTAACACTCACTCAACCCAGATGTTCTCCATTCTGATGACACTTAAGCCCCAGGCAGGAAGAGCAACAGAACAGCGTTTTCTCACAGGGTGGTCTGTGGACCACCGCCTCAAAAATCGCCTGGGGTTGGGGGAGGGGGGAATGGGAGACACGCAGACTGACTAAACGTGCAGATGGCCAAGCCCGCCCTGAAACAAATGGTCCCAAATATCTCTGGGGATGGAGCTGGGAAATCTGCATTTTTAACAAGATCAGAGTAGAGAGAGAGTGTGAGTGAGTGAGTGAGTGAGTGAGTGAGTGAGTGAGTGAGTGTGTGTGTGTGTGTGTGTGATCTGCGAAGGTGAAAACTTGGTTCTACCATGCCTTGGGTTTTACTGAGGGCAATTCTTTGAAGCAGGTGAAATTTTTATTTGGAAAACCTGTGACCAGGGTTGAATCCCCTAACTGACAGTAAGTGAGGAAGGGAAGACCTTAGGATGCTTTTAAGACTCCAGTGCCAGTGGGACAGAAACAGACCTTGGACAGCCAGTGAGCAGAGTGATTAGGGCAGCCTGCACCGGGTACATCACCAAGGCCAAGGCTGCAGGACTTGGGCAGCACCAAGAAATGAAGTCAGTCACCCCTGAGGCCAGGAGAGCAACATCAAGACTATGACTCTGCTAGGGTAATATTTTAAAGAGGAAAAAATCTCACAACCGCTTAGTTTGCCTCTAATTGTTAAAGTGACGGCTGCTGTGGAAACAGCACCAGAAGTCCATCCATCTCCAGGCTCTCGTTGCTTCTCAATGACCTCCTCAGCCCTCAGAACTGAACTTCCTTTTTCAGGTTCCATCTCCTTTGGCCCATGAATGAAAGCCTCCAAGAGGAACATTCTGATCTCTTTAAAAACGTTAACCATGACTTAGAGAATACTATAACTTCATCAATTTCATCACAATATCCTCTAGCTAAACAAACGCCCTCAGATATATTTCATTTGTATGTTCTCTACCAGTAGGGACGGTCAGGGTAGGGGGACAGAACGGGGAGTACGGGATGGACACGCCAAAGTCCTACCTTCTGGGTCATCACGGATCACCAGCAGCCCATTCCTGCACACGACCTTCCCGGTGGTGGCGTCTAGGAATATTAGTGATGGAATGTTGGAAATTCGGTATTTGTTCCAAAGTTTAAGCTGTAAGAAGCAAAGTGAAAAAGGTGGTTAAGTCCAAACCAGATCAATCGAAGCATCCTTTTGAGCCCCATCAGGCCTGAGGGGCGAAAGGACTGGAAAACACTGCTGTACAGGGAAATGAATAAGTGAAGCTACAATCATTGGCCTCTGTGGTCTGTGACAGGGGAGGGGAGTCTGAGTCCCATCCAGGCTCAAGCTGTGACAGAGGCCAACAGAAGACCACACCTGTTCTAAGACAGCTCTTCTCCCCCACCTCTCCCACGGGCACTTCCTCTAAAAGGCATAAAGATGAAGGGTGCCTAGCTGAGCTCACTTGATTAAGTGTCCGACTCTTGATTTCGGCTCAGGTCATGATCTCATGGTTCGTGAGTTCGAGCCCTGCATTGGGCTCTGCGCTGACAGTGCGGAGGCTGCTTGGCATTCTCTCTCTCTCTCCCTGTCTCTCTGCCCCTCCCCTGCTCTCTCTCTCAAAATAAATAAACTTTAAAGAAAAGCATAAAGACGAAGATGAATTAGGAAATGAACTACATGTGCACCCCCAATACCAGGTGGTTAAAGCAGGAAGGGAGGCTTTTTGTTGGTGTCTCTGAACCCCATCAGCAGGCAGGTGCTCCCCTGCTTCCCGGCTCTGCTGTGGCACCTGAGCTCCAAGGGAGAGGGGACAAGGGTATCCCAACAGAAGACCAAATAGCCAGAATCCGGCGCTCTCCCCACCACATCGGTTCCTGCACTTGGGAGTATGGGCAGTCGCTGTGTGTGTCATTCACCCACAAACACTAGGGAAGCAACATCCTGAGCCGGCTCCAATTCTTAGTTCTCAGTGCCACTCAAAACAACCCACAATCTACTGGCAGGTTCGATGTTGCCTCAGCCAACTGTCAGAGGACCAGGGTCTAGGAGGGGTGAGGCTGAGAAAGCACGAATGCAACAGCCTGGGACAGGAAGCTGAGGATGTGCAGACTCCTTTATCAGCTCCCGGCCATCAGAGTGACCGCCATTCGGGGGCGGGGGGGGGGGGGGGGGGGGGGGGGGTCCACTGGGTGCTCTGGAACTTAACTGCCAAGCCCAGAAAGCAACATAATTAAACAAAATGTCCAGCTACCAACGGGAAATGGCAGAATGGCCCAAATGTCTAACTACCAACGGGAAATGGAAGAATGGCCCACTGCTGATTCAGCTGCAGCCTCCCTTCCGGGGGCCTGGGGCCCACACAGGAGGGCTGGCCGCCTGGGCATTGGCAGAATGGGGCGCGGATGTGTCAAGGGGAAGCAGGCACCAGAAGTCCAGCTGCACAGAGCAGATTATTATTGTTTTTAATTCAATCTCAAGCAGCGAAGGAGTCGGGTGGGGTATCTGCTACAAAATGTTAGGCTTCCCCTGTCTGTGGAGACCTGGGTCTTGGCAGGAAAGGTCGTGGGACCCCACCTGGAACTGGGTGGGCCCTGCCTTTCCAGTGGGCTCCCAAACCAGCCCTTCTAACAGGAGCGACTCTGCACATACAGTCGGCAGTGACCAGTACTACATCATCCCAGAGAAACCTGATACAGGCTTCAGATCAAACATTTTTAGGAGGAAAGGCCCAACAGCAGAACAAGACCATCCTGCTGCTGGGATTAGCTTCCTAAGTCTGCAAGTACAAGGATCCAGCCAGGTTAATAATTTTAAAGGGGGGCGGGAAGGAAGATGAAGCGATTTATCCGATTTAAAAAGTAATTATGGGGGGGGGAGTAATTATTGGAAAAAATGAGAAACACAGCAAACCGTAAAAATTGAGATAAAAATCACCCATGACTCACCACTTAAAAAGCTTGGGCAACTTTATATTTCTACCAGTGGCAAACGAGAGCCCATTCCTCAGTATTCTTACCAATATTACTTTAAAAAAAATTTTTTTTTTCCTCAATGTTTATTTTTGAGAGACAGAGACACACAGAATCTGGAACAGGCTCCAGGCTCTTATCAGCACAGAGCCCGACGCGGGGCTCGAACCCACGAACCGTGAGATCATGACCCAGGTCAAAGTGGGACGTTTAACCAACTGAGCCACCCAGGCACCCTCCTGGGGTACATATTTTGGCGAGTAGTCAGGGAAGGCATCTTTGAAGAAATGGCATTTGAGCACAGATCCCGGATATGAGATGGGGCGAGTCACGTGCTCATGGGGGAAGGCCACCTGAGGCCCAGGGCACCTGTTAGAGGCTGGGAGGCAGATCAGAAAGAAGGCTGGGGTAGACACAGTCAGATAGAGTCGGGGAGAGGGGCCACAATGAGGTCAGAAGGGCGCTCTTGGCAGATCTTTAAGGCCCTGTAGACTAGTAAAAATGATGGAATTTTATTCTAAGTGTAACAGGAAACTACAGAGCATTAGCAGGGGAGTGGTATGATTTGATTTACAGTTTAAAAGGTCACTTTGGCAGCCCTGAGGGAACATACTGTAGGGGAAGACAAGGAGAAGGCAGGATCTGGAGAGGCCAGTGCAAACAGCCCAGGCAGAAGTTGAGAGCAGTGAGGAGGACCTGGGTTATAGCAGCAGAGAGTGAGGACATGATGTATTCTTAAGACAGTCAATAGAGTAGGTTGACAGACTGAATATGTGGAAGGGATAAGGGAAAGAAAAAGATGAAGGATGTACTATGGTTTTGGAGTTTGAGCAAAAGTGTGTCAAGGGGTCCTATGAACCAAGATGAGGAAAAATGGAGGCAAAAGTTTGGGAGGGAAAGATGGAGATAAGAGAGGTCAACCTGAGATGCCCATTAGATGTGCAAGGGGAGATTTCAAGGAGGCACCTGGACTTACAAGTCTAGGCTCTGGGGAGCTGGGGGGCATGAGCTATAAATCAGGGATTGTCGCTGCCTGGATGCTGTGAGGGGTCATGAGCCTCCATGAGGTTATCCAAGGAGAGGACAGGCTACAGAGGAAAAGGCACCCCAGAGCAGAGCCAGGGACCACCCACAAAAGACTGAGAAGGAGTGACACATGACATAGAAGGAAAACGGGGAGACTCCGGTGTCCCAAAAGGCAGGTGGCAAAAGTGTTTTAGGGAGAGAGTACACTATTGCGTCAAATGCTGCTGACACGTTGAGTAAGACGAGGGCAGAGAACTGACCAGAGATGTGGCAGCTAAGTTTATTCACGACCTTGACAGTCAAGGAGGAGTCAGTAAAGTGAGGACAAAAGAGTGAGTGGAAGAGGGAGACAACGGGATGCAGCTCTGTCCGGCACACACACCTAGAGGGGCCCTGGGACCAGACAAACTCGAGTCGGCTTCCCACACGAAACACCAAGCGGGAACAATAAAAACAGGAAAGGCTATCAAGAGAAAAAGAAAATGGCAGATAAGGGGCTAAGGTAGTGACTACAGATAACTTTAAGAGTTTTGCTGGAAAGGGAGCAGAGAATAGGACTGTAGCTGGAGAAACACATGATGAGGTCAGAGAGAGGATATTTTAAAGGTGAAGTCAGGGGGCGGTATTTTAAAGATGGGAGATGCTTTAGTATATGCTGCTGGGGATAATCCAGAAGAGGAAAATATTGATGAGAAGGAAAAATGCAAGAACAGAGTCCTTGAATAGGCCAGAGGGTGGGGTCGAGGTCACAGACAGAAAGATGGAATTGTAAAACCTGACTAATTTTTAAATGTACACTCTTACTTCAAAGCACGTTTTTAGCCTGAATAGAAAGCCATGCTATTTGCAAATAAACATAACTTCACCTTCCTTTTCCACAATTACATCATTTATTTCCTTTTCTTAAAGAACTATATTGGCTGGAATTTTCCAGGACAATAGTAAGTAGCAATCATCTTTAACTTCCACCTGATCATAATGGGTATACCTTTTACTATTATATATAAGACTAGCCATTGGTATGAGATGGATACTCTTTTTTTTTTTTTTTTTTTTTTTTTTTTTTTTTTTTTTGTTACATTTATTTATTTTTGAGAGACAGAGCATAAGCAGGGGAGGAGCAGAGAGAGAGGGAAACACAGAATCAGAAGCAGGCTCCAGGCTCCGAGCTGTCAGCACAGAGCCTGATGCGGGGCTCAAACCCACAAACTGTGAGATCATGACCTGAGCCAAAGTTGGACGCTTAACCCACTGAGCCACCCAGGCACCCCATGAGACGGATACTCTTAAACATGTTAAACAAAATAGTCTTGAATGTTATTCAGCCTTAAAAGGAAGGAAATTCTGGGGCACCTGGGTGGCTCAGTTGGTTAAGCATCCACCTCTTGATTTCTGCTCAGGTAACGGTGTCTCAGTTTGGGAGTCTGAGCCCCTTGTCAGGTTCTGTGCCGACAGTGGGGAACCTGCTTAGGATTCTCTCTCTGTCTCTCTCTTTCCACCCTTCTCTGCCCTCCCACGCATTTGCTCTCTCCCTCTCTCAAAATAAATCAATAAACCTAAAAACAATCTTTTTTTAAAAAACTTTTTTCATGTTTTATTCAGTTTTGACTGAGAGAGAGAGAGCATGAGCAGGGGAGGGGCAGAGAGAGAGGGAGACACAGAATCTGAAACAGGCTCCAGGCTCTGAGCGGTCAGCACAGAGCCTGATGCGGGGCTCAAACTCACAGACGGCAAGATCATGACTGAGCCGAAGTCGGACACTCAACCAACTGAGCCACCCAGGCGCCCCAAACCTAAAAACAATCTTAAAAAAAAATAAATAAAAGTGGAATTAAAGAAAAAACGGAAGGAAATTCTGACACATGCTACTACGTGTATGAACCTTGGGGACACCTTGCTAAATGAAAGAAGCCAGTCACAAAAATACAAATTCTGTGTGTTTCCATTCCTATGAGGTACCTAGAGTAGTCAAAGTCATAAAGACAGAAATTGTAATGGTGGTTGCTACCACCATTGGGGTTGGGTGGACGGTGGAGATGGAAGAAAGCTGGTATTACTGTTTAACGGGTATAGAGGCTCAGTTTTACAAGATCAAAAGAGTTACAGGGATGGGTGGCCATGAAGGGCTGCATGTCAGTGAGAATGAATTAAAAA